ATTGAAAATTCATTCAGATATTCTACTCTGAAAACAATGGAAGCTATACAAAATTGTAATAGATTTGTTTGCATTTGTTTTTTAGAGACACAATGATCTTGCAGATAATTTTTTCTTTCTTTCTTTTTTTTTTTTTTTGCAAATCACAGATTTCAAGGGCAGTTTAAACTTAGCCTTTAAGTTTTAAAGACCAAGGGACTGAAAATCAGACCATCAAGAAGATTGGTTACTTTTCCAAACCAAAGCAGACCATGTGTCTCCAAATATATCACTAATATCATATTCCCTAAGTGAAGAATCAGTAGAAAATCTCAGAAATTAAAGTTTCAAGTTTGCTGGGATTTTAAAAAAATTCTTAACTTTTTATCTGAAACTTGAGAAGATGAGTCATTACTCTCAGATTCTTAATTTCAAAAGAAAAATTTGTTTTTAAATTGGAGCAATGTTAAGAGAACGTAAAAGACTTTCTCAAAAATTATATACATCCCAAGTATTTAAGATAAAGCGATGATTTCAAGAAGGTGGGAACGTTATTTTACTATGTCTTCAAGTTCCAACTACTCTAATGGCATTTATTCTTTCTTTCCCTTTCTGTTAATGAGGTAACTTCTATCTTTCTATTTATATTCTACAACATCAGCTACCTCTAGACAAAGGCAGAGTTATAATCTTAAGAGATTTAGCTTAATATGGAATTCACATTTACTTGTTAGCTACAATATATCTGTTATCTAAAATGTGACTGCACTGGGCATTGATATCCAGACGCTCAGTCAATAAATTGATAACATTTGTTTCTTGCCTCAGACTCAAATGAGAATATGAATCTAAACATATTCACTGCATGTCTTCTAACTTATTTCTGAGTGAAGCACAAATCATAGAAAAATTTAATGTATCCATAGATTGGTTAGTTAAAGTGGTATGGCTAGTGTCTCTGGTTTAGTTTGTTAACAAGTTTAGTTTCTATAATATAACATTCACAGTACAATTAGATATGATTCACATAAAAAATTATCAGTAGTGAAGCATTTCAATATAAGTTTTGAAGAACCATCCATCATTCTCTATTGAGACAGGTTAGCAAGTATTCATTCCTTATCTTGAAAGAGGGAGAACATGCAGGTTACCAGTAAGCATGCAGGATAAGTGGGCATTCTAACCCAACTGAGCTTTGTTAGTTTCAACAACTTGGGATCACAAAACACTCTTTTACATATACAAAGTTTTCATATTTTGCTATGGTTAACATCAAGACCTTTCAAAATGCAAAACAACCAATAACACTCTGTATACACAGCATAAAAATTGCATCATTTTGCAATAATTATTTTCATATTACGCAGTAGCTAGTAGATATGATGAATAGACAGTAAGAACTCATTAGACAAAGAAATATTATTACCTTTTGCCCTGGACGACCAGATTCTCCAGGTTCTCCCTGGACAAAGAAAATGAAAGATGAAAAGGACAAGTCTATGAGAATTTTTGAAAATCCTATGCCTCCGAGTATTTCACAGGGATAGCCCAGCTTCCTTCTTGCATTTTATTCACTTTATTCTGTTACTGTGCATCTCACTAGATAGACAAAGGAACATTTTTTTTTCTGTGAATATCCTATAGTTCACGTATAAACCCACATTTCCATACAAACCAATCAGAAAGGGAAAAGAGGCAAGACCTCTTACTTAAACCTTCCCTGGATTTCCCATGAATATTCCCTATTGTGTTTGGAAGCTGATCATTGCAGGAGAATAGGGACAAAGTGATAAATGTCTAAGTTGGTAAAAGGGAAGGGAAAGGAGAAGCCTATAAGCACCCAAACTGTGACTCCAAGGTACCAACGTTGGCAAGGTTGCCCTTACCTTAATCCCTGCAGCAGATGAGCCAGGATCACCCTAAAAGGAAACCCATGAAGATTAAGCCACAAATGATGGAGATAAGAAACAAACACCCAGAAAGCCATTACTAACCCACAGGGACCCATGGCTAATGAGCCCAACTATGCTCCATAAGACTGCGTACCAATATGTCAACATAAGATACCAACCTTTTCCAAGATAAACAATGTACTTCCTAAAAATATGGGTTGACTTCAAATGCAAACTATATAAGGACTATATTTCTTAATATATATGTATAAATCTCTTCCCTCGATACAGTACTAAAAATGCATTACAATATAATAAATTACAATTTAGGGATCTGGAACTTTTGGGTGTATTTCTGGAATTTGTTAATGTCATCAGCTATCATTTACTGGAGTTCCCTGACCCTTTTGGTCCTCAGAAAGTCATGGTTCAACCGATGAAGTCAAAGGGTTAATGATGTTGAGGTGGGAAAAGCCACGTAACAGATCAGTTTGTTTTCCTCAGAAAGCGCTGTCCCGGTTACGACCGGCACGTTTTTTGCAGCTTTGTACTTATTTCCCTGTAACTCGGTCACTGGGAAGCTACAGGATGATGGATGACTTGTGGGTGAGGAAGACACATGTGAACTCTGAGAGAAAGTCTTCAGACAGAATCTGGTTTTTGAAAAGGCACTGTAATCCACCCAGATTTTGTAGAGGGTGACTGCATTTCTAAAGCAAATATGTCATAAATAGGCAGACAGGGACTGGTGGAGAAAAGAACATAGAGGCTAGCCAGGGATGTTGCTTATTTCTGAAATGAAGCCAGTAAAGCGCCTAGATTTCCAAGTTCCTTTTAGCCCCAGTCTGTCCCACGAACACACTAGAAGGAAAAAGAAAAGGTCATCTGAGACTGTCAGGAAAATAGGAACAGCCACAGGAGGACAGCATATACCGGGATTTCCTCAGCTGTCTCATCTGCACATATGCTCAAGTCAAGGAGGTCTGGGGCCCATCTCCTTGTTCTAGATTCCAGAGACTGTTCATCAGTTTTTATTAGGAACAGACAGACAGCAGGCCTCAGGCCTCTGTACGCCGGGTACCTGTCTCCTCCCCCAGTTCCTCTCAACCTCATGCCAGGGCTGGCATCTTCTCTTTCTTCCAGTCTCAGCTTAAGTGGCTTTTCCTCAAAGAACCTTCACCAGCCTGCCTAGACATAGCCCCTCACGTGCTCACATCTTGTCGTGTGGCATTGCACTCCGTCCATCACGTTTCCTGCCTATTTCCCGTCTGTCCCTCTGAGACAGTCAGCTGCATGAGAGCAGATTTGTACCTGTTTTTATTCAGTGCCCAGCCTGTATGTATGTTCAGTACATATATGGGGAAGGAATAAACAGATCTCTAAAAGAATTTTTAAACAGGTCAGCAAAGATCAAAATCAAAGTAAAAACCTTTAGGAAGGAATATAAAAGCAGCTTAGGAAGAAGAAAGAAAGAGTAAATTAGCTTGTTGAGGAGGCAGATATCTTTGTGAGCTTGACATCTGTAATTGCTATTACCCAAATACTGTCTTACTGTGCAAAGATACTGACTTCTCTTCCCAATCATTAACATTCAGTTGATGATGGGAAGCAACATAAATGTGGCCAATAAAATGAAAGTTATCGTGTCTCTACTACTGTAGTCTGAAAGCCATCAACATCAATGAACCAGGTCTGTAATGCTTTGCACACTAAGACCTTTGAAGTCATTAAAAGCAATCTTGACTTTGCAAAGTTCCTTTTTTTACCTTATTTAGACCTTGTAAGTCTCCTGGGTGACAGAGAAAGACATTACTATTTCCATTTACTAGATGAGTAAATTGAAGCAACTGGAGATTGAGTAAGTGTTTGGCTTTCTAAATTCTACTGGCTGTCCTTTCTATTGGAATAAGAAAATAATTATTGGTTTATTTCATTCTGATGAGAGGACATAAAGGTTATAGTAAACTTGAAAATAAAAGCAAGTTGCTTGTATTAACTATAGCTAAAATTTTTTTTTCAGTGTTTTAATGAAAAGTGGTCAATCTGCTTATCTGAAGAAAGACTAGATTTACTTTTCATTGAAAGTAGATGGAAAGAAAAAAACAGGGTTTTGAAAGGCCAATTTATTTGTGAAAATCTGAGCTGTTTCATTTGATGGACAAGTAAGAGTTATATTTTCATTCTCTTTTTAGAGATTTGGAACTGTGAAATCTCAAGGAATTTTTATTTAAGTGGCAAAGCAACTGCTGGAAGACATTTATAAGTTAAACATTTTAAAGGATAATGCTGCAAACAGTGGAAATAAAATAGTGCATGTTTATAATCCTCCTTCCTTCAGAAGTGAAAATGAATACCGGAATGAAGGAAGGGGGAAAATCCCCAACTGCATCTTAAAGATACTCTTAGCTTCCAAAATCAGTTGGTTTGGAAGTACAAGTTTCCACAGGCTAAGCCATAGATGCGGGAATACCGTGAGAAGATATTTGAGATAAATAAATTTGACTTTACTATTTTTCAGTCAAGCCCAGTTTCCATTTTTGTTTGCAGTTATTTTCAAAATACTTGGTAGATGATTACATGCATGTGTTAGTAAGGTACTGGTGGACATAAGAAGTGAACGTGGTGACATTTCTATCATTTATTAAATCACTCAATAAATATTTATTGAGCATCAATTATGTAGTGGGTGTGGGTGCAGGGGTGCTGGCACTTGGGAGACAACAGTGAGTAAAGCATTTACATACTCATCTTTATTCTACACTTGCATTAATCATTTCCTAATATATTTTGTATACAATATTATTGATTAAAAAAGCATGAAAGAATTTTTTTCTGTCTTTCCTTTTTTTTTTTTTTAAATCTGGGACAGGAAGAGACTGTCATGTTTGGGAAATTATGTGTCACTATATGTACACAAAAGACATAATAAGCAAATGTATGGCACAAAAACAAAGTTCTAACATTTAATGAAAATTAGAAGCTATTTAAAATATATTTTTTCAAAGATGGTTCATTCAATAAATGTTTATTATCTTCCAAATATATGCCAGGAACTTGGATTGGTACTGGGTATAGAACAGTGCACTCTCATACAGGTTTTTTGTTTGTTTGTGTGCTTGTTTTTTCTTTTTCAGGGAGATGGATGTCCCATTAAACAAGGAGTTACAATGAACCACGTTAAGGGTGATGATGACAGGGATTATAAAGAGTGCTGTGGGATATATTGCAAGTAACCAATCCTGAGGAGACTGAAAAGGAAATGATTTATATATTAAGTTTTCATTTACTTTTATTTTTAATTATCATGGGTATGTAATAGTTATATATCCTTATAGGGTACACATAATGCTTTGATATAGGCACAATGTGAATTCAGTGGACTGAAGAATGAATAGATTATAATGTGGGGAAATGGAGGTGAAGAGTTGGAGAAAGGAGGACAAGAGTGTTCTAAGCTAAGGGAATAATGTGTGCTGATTAGAGAAGGCCTTGCATTGATTGGGGTAGGAGTGTCCACAAAGACAGGCGCTTAGGTCAGATTTAAAGAAAAGACAACAATTTGTTTGGTGGTTCTAAATGAGGTGGTTCGCAGGATAGAGATCAAAGTTGTAATGTAGATATAGAGTAAAAAGACAGCATATTCATAGAAATCGAAACAGGGAGAGCCAAAAAAAGGGAGACAGACAGGTAATGCCAAGGATGGTGGAGCTTTTGAATCAACAGATAAAACTGTGAATAGTAGGGTGACATAGTCAAACCATTTAGCATGCTACATAGACACCCACTTTCACTTGGAGGGAGACAGATAAGAAATCCTCAGCCTGGGCAATATGGCAAGACTGTCTCTCCAAAAAAAAAAAAAAAAATAAATAAATAAATAAAAATAGCAGGGCAGGGTGGCAGACACCGGTAGCCAAGCTACTCAGGAGGCTGAGGTGGGAGGATTGCTTGAGCCCAAGGCAACAGAGTGAGACCCTGTCTCTAAAAAAAAATAAAATAAGAAAAAATGAAAGAATTAAAAAAATCTATTTCTGTGTTTGTTGTATAATACCCCATAGAACATGACCCTTCAATAGTAATTCTACACGTGACTGAACTCAGATTTTGGCAGGTTATTTTTAAACCTAGAGCACTCTGTGGTTGGCCAGAATGCACTGAAGTTGTTGGCCACAAAGAAAACCCAGCCTAGTGGTTTTTATAGTTCTACAGCATTTCCAGATGACCAGTCTGGAAAGGCTTAGATTGCTTTACCATCCAAAGGCACTGAGTTGGATCAAAAGGAAAAAAATCCTATTAAAGTGAATCAGCCAATGACGTAATTTACTACATCAATGGCAGAAAAGAAGCATTTTTTTTTTTAAATTTTACATCTTAAACTTGGTAAATGATAAATGAGTTTCACATACTGAACACAAAGGCTATAAGGAGTGTTTCCAACATGCTGGAAACAAATTATATGACAGAAGCAGGAAATGTTTAAAAAACACATCAAAAATTATATTCCAATTACAGCATTCTTGGGATAAATGCTTACAGGTCAGATTACATATTACACACGCTACAGATTCCTATTTACAATCCCCTGTTTAGACCCATTGAAAGTTTATAGAAATGATTTCCGTTTTAACTGAAGCATTTCTCATACTTAATTTCAGCTGACTAATAAAACTTTTTGATAAAAAAAGAAAAACAACCAATCTAGTTGACTTCAATTTCCATGTGGTAAGAAAAGCTAATATTTATTGAAAGTTTATTGTGTGTGAGTCAGTACAGTAAATGATTTGCATTAATATAAAATAAGAACAATTTTCTTTAGAGATGACGTTGGTCTTTTCAAAGAAAAAAAGTTGCTTTACTATGATAAAATTAAATTTCAAAAAATGTATGGTTAAAGAAACAATTATTGGCCTATGTTCCCAAAGTGAAGCTTTAAAAATACATCTTTTAAGTATAAAATTATTAAGTATAAAATTATTAAGTATAAAATTAAGTATAAAATTACTTACATAAAACCACAGTTCAGGCTTGGTATAAAATTTTTTCACTTGAAGAAATTGCCCTCTATATAGAATATTTCCATCTTTTTAAGCAGAGGTTAGCAATTATGACCAAACTGAGCTGGCCACCTTCAAAATGCATGAGCTAAGGATGGTTTTTACATTTTTCAATCATTAAAAATACCAAAATAACTATAATATTTCATGACATGGGAAAATTACATGAAATTAAAATTTTAGTGTCTGGAAATAAAGTTTTATTGGAACACAGCCATACTCACTTGTTCATCTATTGTCTGCTGCTTTCATGCTAATAACAAAGTTGACTAATTTTGACGGAGACCACATGGGCCACAAAACCTAAAATATTTACTTTCTGGCACCTACTCACCTCTGCTTTTAAGTACTAATAAGAAAGTTAAATATAACATCCAGGTTTATTATTTAGGCTTTCAAATTTTGACTTCAGTAGTCAGAGTATATCACTGGTATCATCTGTTTTAAACATATTCATGTCATGTGATATGCAAATCTGGTAGATTAAAAAAAACAGGTCTACAGCTGTGGTATTCAACTGGGGCAATTCTGTCTCCTAAGGAACATCTAGAGACACTTTTGGTTGTTGTAACTCAGAGGTGCTTAGGCATCTAATGAGTAGAGGCCAAGAATGAACCTGAACGTCCAACAGCTCCCAATAGAGAGAGATCTGCCCCAAATGTCAATATTATGCCTGTAATCCTAGCACTCTGGGAGGCTGAGGCAGGGTGGATTGCTTGAGCTCAGGAGTTTGAAAGTAGCCTGAGCAAGAGCAGGACTCATCTCTAAAAGTAAAAAAACTAGCTGGGCATCAATGGCAGGAGCCTGCATTTCCGGCTACTTGGGAGATTGAGGCAAGAGGATCGCTTGAGCCCAACAGACTGAGGTTGCTGTGAGCTATGATGATACCATGGCACTCTACTCAGGGTGACAGAGTGAGGCTCTATCTCAAAAAAACAAGAGAAGATCAATATTGCTGAGTTTAAGGAACCCTGGCCTGTGAGACACTGAGTCCACAGTGATTCCCAGATGACTCCTAAACATAATCACAATTGCTATGTGGTGACATTAATTCATTCCTGCCACCTGGCCCATATTTATATTAATATTTATGAGAGGAAAAAAGATAAATTTCTTTTTATTTTGTGGGTGTGTTTTTATGACTAACCATTACCCATCTGTACTATAATAATTTTCAAAGTGGAATAGCTTTATGCTCAACTATAAGCCTAAATGAATAATTCTTTTTTTCATCAAATTCTTAGCTTGATTTAAGTCAAAATCCATCTGATTCTATTCTATTTTAAATTTCTTAAAAGATCTTCTTTTTAATTCTTAACATGTAGGTAAAGTAAAGTGAAATATCCTTCCTGTGTCAGAGATGTCGGTGAAGTATGAATCCATGCAAAATCTATAACGATAGATGGGGGTAAAAAGAAAGGAGGCAGGAAGACAAGCTACCAGACTCTGCAATGTAAACGCAAGCCACGGTTTAGAAGACCAAAACAGACAAACCAAAAAACCAATCCCCACAAATAAACAAAAAACAACCCTCCCAAACCAAAGGCTGACAACACATACAGATTTTGTGGGTAACTGGTTGAGCCAAACTTTCCAGACCACACTAGAGGCTCTAATCAAGTGACATGAACTTATAATCAAACATTCAAATCTCATCTCAATCTTTCGACAAGTTGTCTCCCCAAACTGGGACAAACTGACTCATTTTAGAAACTCTATGTTTATACCTTGCATATAAAGGGTGTGCTTCATTTACACACAAGCGTTTTTACTCCTTGAAAGCCACATTACTGAAAGGTTACATACACATTTTCTAGAATTTTTTTCATATCATTTTATTTTTAAAATATTTAAATTTTAAGATAGGAGCTTGCGGAATAATCACCTTTTATAAACCAAATATTTAAATGTTTTCTAATCTTAGAAAATTATCTGTCATATTGAGTTCTTCTCACTCACCTCTTTCAAATCTTTCCTTTTCAAATACATGAAATAATACATTGCTTATACACATACCCTTTCATATTTCACCAAACTGTACCTTTTCACCTGTGTCCCCTTTGGGGCCATTCTCTCCAACATCTCCCTGAGGAAGAAAAAAAGCAATCCATGTAAAATACATTGGTGACATTGAGTAAATGGCATTTTTCATTGTTTTATGTTTTCTTTCATAAACACTACATATTAAAAGCTGCCGCACATGTTCTACAGAGCTAAGGCACTTTTACTTGACCAGCTGTCTGATATCAATAAAATAAATTTTATTACAATGAACATGGCCAAATAGTTTTAAGCAATTCCATTATATTAACAGAAAACAGTAATTAATCAGCGTGCCTTCTCATAGCTTGTTTGGGCACTTACAGCTTCCTTAACTCCATCTCTTCTCCTCTGCTCAAAGCTCCTCTCAAACGAGTGCTTTCTCCCCATAATTCCCTGAAGAAGCCTGTGCATTACCACCTCTGCCACCACTCCTGCCACCCGACCCCTGCCCTCTCTTTTTCCTTCTATCTGTATAAATTCTGCCCTGTCTTTAAGCCTGTCTCAAATCTCCAGGACCTCAAAGTACATGACATACTCTCAGAACCTGTGGACTGAATATATTTATCTGACACACATGGTTTGTATTCATGAAATAAACATTTTATATGGTATAAGAAAACTTTTTAAAAAATCATAAATGTAAATGAATAGCGAGAGTTTGTGTTTTCATTATTTTGAGACTTCCTATGCCTATTTCCTCACTGACATCTCCTTTTTCCCCACAAAGCAATGCATTAGGAAAAAAGGTATTCATTCAGTATCCATGTTTTGCTTCTTTAAATTTTGAAATCTTTAGTTTGAATCTTCCAGCATGTTATCATGGAAATTTAGAGAACTTTGGAGTTAGGGAGACTGAGCCCAGCTCCGAAGTCTATGGGGTAAGTAAAATTCTCTTTGCATCAAGTTTTTCTGGTATAGTATAAGGGTAAGGATACTTTAAGCAGTTATGAGAAATAAGCAACATGCTGTGTGTAAAGCAACTAGTACTGTATCTGGCATATCATAAGCTGTTAATGATAGCCATTAGAGAAAACAATATATTATTATTCATATATTCGATAGGAGGGAATATAGTCACTTTTTATGTAGGATCTTGCTCTGTTGCCCAGGCTAGAGTGCAGTGGCATTATCATAGCTCACTGCAACCTTAAACTCCTGAGTTCAAATGATCTTCCTGCCTCAGCTTTCCAAGTAGCTAGGACTATAGAAGTGCACTACCAAGCTTGACTAATTTTTCTTTGTTGTATTTAGTAGAGACAGGGTGTCATTCTTGCTTAGGCTGGTTTTAAACTCTTGAACTAAAGCAATCCTCCTACCTCAGCCGCCCAAAGTGCTAGGGTTACAGTCATAAGCCACTGAGCCCAGCCTCTACTTTTCTATTATCTAACATTTATTTAAGATAAGACAGGGACTATCACTAATAGTTTGCTTGGGGCGGGGGGGGGGGGGAGAGGAGATTGGGGAGGGAGGCTTTCACTTTTTTCTCTTTCTTTTATTATTTCAAATGCACATGAAGTTAATCTGCTTGGCATTTGTATATGGTGACAGACACACCACTGCAGACCACAAGAGCTTGGGATACTTTCTCTGGTGAATTCCTGGGTTGTCCCAACATTTCTCCTCTTCTCTCCTTAATTTCTACACAAAAGAGTCATTGATAACTAATTAATTTCAAGTTAATTACCATGAACTAATTGTATGCCAAATGGATGTACTGGTAATCTCTTATAAGGACTTTTGACAGGAAGTTGATTTTCATGCTTTTGAAAAAATGTTGGAAAATCTCTTTAAAAACAGAACAAAATAAAACCTTCTTCGGAAAACTGGCTCAGAGTGGTTATGAAGCAAAGGGTTTGACTGAGCTTATCAAATTGTCTTTTTCTACTCCTCTACTTTGCTCTCCTTCCATTTAAATGCCTTTTTTTTTTTTGCAATTTTTGGCCGGGGCTGGGTTCAAACCCACCACCTCCGGCATGTGGGGCTGGCGTCCTACTCCTTTGAACCACAGGCGCCACCCCTTTTTTATATTTTTTGCTTTACAGTGCTGAAAAATACAGTTAAAATCAAGAATTTTTCTTGATCTGTAGGTGAAATTCTTTTGGGATTAGAGGTTATAATATTGATTTGAAGAAAGACTGTATCACATATGAAGAGCGTGGTACAGTGTCACTTTCACATACTATTAAATAGCATAAAAATCAGAAAAATAAGTGCCACAAGATGCAGTGAGAGTCTAAAAATAACAAGGACAGGCCCAAAAGCAGTAAGGAAAGGCGTTTAAGGGAAAAGTAACATGTAACACTGGTTTTGTTTCTCTTTTTGGTTTTTAATGGGAATTTTTTATGGGCAAGTTTCAGATAATTCTGTAGGTAAACATTTGTATCCCTTTAACCTAGTGACAGAAGAGAGGGAGAGTAGAGAGGGATGTGGGTGCTTGGCAAAGTATTGGAATGGCATTAGCATGTAGGCAGAACAGAGATTTTGCAGGCCTAAGGATTTTTGAAAGTCACATAAAAACCTGACATAGAATATTTAAACTTACTCCCTTTTTTTTTCATTTTTAAAAATCTTTTTATCTAAACTTTTGTCCATACATAAGAATTATACTATTTTCTTCAGGCTGCTAATTAGCAGTCTGAAGAAAAAAGAAAAAACAGCGGTCATTATGACTACATCTGTAACATCATCCCTTTATCTACATCTGTTTATCCATCCATCCATAGAATTCAGTTGGGCACCTCTTGGCAGGGAGTGAGTGGGCTGGACAGAAATACAGGCAGAATCATTCTTACCTTTTCTCCTTGTTCTCCAGGTTCTCCCTGAATAAAAGGACAGCGATTAGGTGACATTCAATTATAAAACACTTAATTTTGGTATTAAATAAAACATCTACTGAATGTACTAGTATGTGATACTTTTTATTTAGACTGTATATAGTTGCCATATGAGTTTTCTGGAGAATTGAGTATGGATATCAATATTGAATATAATTTTCATTCTTTGCTTTTATAGAACTACAGAAATATGTTTCAAGTTTACCATTCAGAAACTGGCTTTGGGGCACTAAGGAGAACAAGGGTGCAGCCATTCACTATCTTGAGAAGCTTCTTGGTCTGCTCCTTTTTATTCTGCCCAAACTCAGAGTCAGTGAAGTAGACCAAGCCTTTGGGGCATGAACTATTTTAGGGGTCTGGAGTGTAGTTCAGTGTAGCTCCCCTAAATGTCATCAAAAGTCCTAAACCTGAAGCCCTTTACGATGTCATGAATTCTCTTTAACTGCTAGTAGCCAGCAAGTTTCAAATCAGGCGTATTTCAGGAGGCTTTGATACCCTCAGGAATGACACTAGGAGGGGGCAGAGTGTGAGTGTAGGAAAGATGTCCTTACTCTATATGACGGCCAGGATAGCATGAGAACTAAAATACAAAATTGTTCTCTGAGGAGAATCTCATTCTCATTTTACCCAGGAAAGGATAAAAGTGAGGGAGTTCTAAAGTAAATTATATGCATTATGATAATATTTCCCTATGAAAGGCTGAATAAGTATTGCCATGATATCAGACTGCTTTTTTTAAAAAAAGATCAGACTTTCTTTTTTAAAGAAATAAGGCAATTATTGTGGGTTTTCTTGAAAAAAAATATAACCCTTTGCAGAAGTCAGTTTGGAGGCAGGACTCTTTTCTTTCCCTGGAAATCAACCTGACCCTTTTGTTTCTGAATTTCTGGTCATCTTCACTGCTCAATAGCCATCCTGATGGTTGCTAGGCAACATAAGAATAGCACTGTGGACATGCATTAAGCATTAACTCCTATCATTTGGCTTTTTAGTATGGACCAAGAGAGGGAAGAAGACAGGAAAGCAGCTATAGTCCCAGAAGGACTATTTTCTTTCTCCTCTTGCAGGATAGAGGATATGTCTATAAATTTTAGGTCTGTCCTAGGAGCCTGTCAATAGCAACGTGATCTGTAAAATCAGCTGACAGGCATCTGTGCGTACGGATACACACCAGCACAGCTGATAGGATTAGACATTAGTTTTGTACTTCAAGGGATGTTCACTCATCAAAGGATTTGGGATTTGTCTGCCTACTTGGTTTAAACTAAACTGTCACCAATCTTTTTATATTTAACAAATTCATTTGTTTTTTAAGAAACAAAGAAAACTCACAATCCAAAAAAAAATTCTCAGTACATTTTTCCCTATTTAGTAATTCAGATTATACAAATTATATCCATTTTTAATTTTTACTTATTTATTTATTTATTTATTT